ATTACTATTACAGGACAAAGGAAGCAATATTTTGGTAGACTGTTTTAAAAGAAATTGAAATTAATAAAGATAGGGTAGGTATAAAGAAGACTAATAGAATACAGAGATTATTGAATAGCTATAACCTCTCGATAATCAAAAACTTATCTAACCCACTGTCGGCTTATTAAAGAAAAAATTTACTTTTCCCCATATTTTATAGGCAATTTAAAATTGAAAATTATCACAAATAAAAGTCTTCCTTCCTTGCAACTAATCTTGTTTGTGTTGTTGCACTATTTGGAATGAAAAGGAAAAAAAGATGCCACATAAATTTGTTTTCATTACATAACACTGGCATCCATGCCACTGACACCGTTATACAATAAAAATAAAAACAAACAACTCTCTCACAAAACATGTCACGATTACAAATGATGTTTGGTTTAGTCGGTCTCTTGGTTTGGGTTAGTTTCGATTGGTTTTGGAATTTGTATCCTTTTTTTTTGTAGCGCTTAAAGCAGCACTATTTCAATTTACTATGTATAGGAAAAAACTTGAAGTTTTATTTCAAATGTAGCATCTACAAAAAGCCCTGCAGTTTTATTAATAGTCCTTAAGGAATCTATAGTGTAATCACTTGTTTACATTTCTCTTCCGCAGACAAATGTATAAAGTAATGTAGTATTATTGGAATTTAAAATGAATTAAAATAGTACTGAATTATCCACCCCTGGTCTGAACTTGCAATGTTTAAATAAGTAATCGCTCGGTAATGCCGTCCAGAACTGTTGGGACGTCGGTTTTGTCATATTTTCTATCACACGTAGTACATGAAATGTTTGTTTTGTATAGTTTTAAATCGTTTTCGTGTTTTTGTTGTTGGTATGAATGAGTTTTTGTTGTTGCTGTAATGAAACGAGTTTTGTTGTTGCATTTTACACTTGAAGAATTGGTAATGATAATTTCTTTTAAAATATTTCTTCTTTTTTAAGTGATTAAACCCCAATTATTCGATCGCTAAAACAAATTACGATAGAAATATCATATAATTTTAATATTTGGATTTCCCGGATCTCAGCCCCATATAAAACATATAAAACTTTTAAACTAAAAGAGAGCAAGAAAAACATTTTTGCAACAATTATTTTGCTTTAAAAACCTTCAATGTGTTCACAGCATTTTCCCAAGTACGATTCAATAGTTGGGAGAATATTGCATTACTTAGTAATGAGAAGTGTTTGACTTATACCTTATTTTAATTGGACTCTCCTAAACAACTCTTGCAATGAAATTTAGCAATTAATATCCGTCAACATCTTTGACAATTTTTTTAGTTGAAATTTATTGTAATGAAGTCCTGAAAATAACTTTTGACACCAATTAACTTAAATTTATATTTATCGTGTAATGAACGTTTTGTTTTTTGTCTTTAACATATTAACAGTTACTTGTTATGTTTTTTTGACAGTGTATTACATCTAAAGTACGTAGAAACGCTTGAAATGGCTTTGGTTAAAGTTTAATATTTCTCTAAACATAAATTCTTGTTTTTGCCTGGTTTCATTTGACATTTTGTTTGGTTTTCATTTAGGTTTTTTTTTTAGTATTAAATGCAATAGTTTTCATTCCTTTCTATGATGGGTTCGTCGGTCTAATGCAGTCTTTTGTTGGTTTTTAACACATCCAACGAAATGTCAATATACGAATCTGTTGGAGTATACATAGGTATGTACCTATATAGTATATATTTTTTTAAATTTTGCATGCAAATACTGAAAACAAGTTTTTCGGCATTTAACATAATGAAGCAAAAAAGTGAAAAATAAATATATAAATATTTCCGTGTGGCAGCATTATCATGTATTAACAAATTATGTGTTTACTTTTTGCATAAAATATGATGACATATCCAATGACTTTCTTATTTTTATGTTATTTTTGAGTGTGTGTATGTTATTGAAGAAAAAGGAGAGGAGGATTTTAATAGAAAGATTTAAGAAAGATTTATTACAACTTCCTGTTGAAATCGTAAGTTGAACTAGGTACAAGTGCACAAGTTTTTTTTAGTGCATACGAAAATGTGTTAATTTATATTGAAGTAAAATATAGGGAAATATTTTCTGATAGTAATCATTTCATTTCGAAAGTGTTAAAACGAAGGCCGATGTTAAAAATTGGATAACGAACTTCAAACATATCAAACATATTCTCCTAGTTCGAGACCAGTAACTATTTCCTGTTTTAAATCTAAAGATTTGCAACGGGTAAAGGACTATGGATCTTTGGAAAAACAAAAACGAGAGAACATGTTGTTTTTAATACTTTTTCTAACTTACTAGTCTATAGTGTAGTTTATAGTGTAGTCTATAGTGTAGCCTATAGTGTAGTCCATAGTATAGTCTATAGTCTAGTTTAAAGTCTAGTATATACTCTAGTCTATAGTCTAGTCTATAGTCTAGTCCATAGTCTAGTCTATAGTCTAGACTATAGTTTAGTCTATAGTCTAGTCTATAGTCTAGTCTATAGTCTAGTCTATAGTCTAGTCTATAGTCTAGTCTATAGTTTAGTCTATAGTCTAGTCTATAGTCTAGTCTAGTCTAGTAGTCTAGTAGTCTAGTCTAGTAGTCTAGTCTAGTCTAGTCTAGTCTAGTCTAGTCTAGTCTAGTAGTCTAGTCTATAGTCTAGTCTATAGTCTAGTCTATAGTCTAGTCTATAGTCTAGTCTAGTCTATAGTCTAGTCTAGTCTATAGTCTAGTCTATAGTCTAGTCTATAGTCTAGTCTATAGTCTAGTCTATAGTCTAGTCTATAGTCTAGTCTATAGTCTAGTCTATAGTCTAGTCTATAGTCTAGTCTATAGTCTAGTCTATAGTCTAGTCTATAGTCTAGTCTATAGTCTAGTCTATAGTCTAGTCTATAGTCTAGTCTATAGTCTAGTCTATAGTCTAGTCTATAGTCTAGTCTATAGTCTAGTCTATAGTCTAGTCTATAGTCTAGTCTATAGTCTAGTCTATAGTCTAGTCTATAGTCTAGTCTATAGTCTAGTCTAGTCTATAGTCTAGTCTAGTCTAGTCTATAGTCTAGTCTAGTCTATAGTCTAGTCTATAGTCTAGTCTATAGTCTAGTCTATAGTCTAGTCTATAGTCTAGTCTATAGTCTAGTCTATAGTTTAGTCTAGTCTAGTCTATAGTCTTGTCTATAGAATACAGCCTAGCCTATAGTCTAGTCTATAGTCTTGTCTATAGAATACAGCCTAGCCTATAGTCTAGTCTACAGTCTAGTCTATAGCCTAGTCTAGTCTACAGTCCTGTCTAATATACTCCAAAAAATTGGGTGTAACAATTTTTGTTATAGAACTATCAAGTATATAACATTAAGATCTACAATGAGATGAAATATTGGGAAATATTTGTAAAATCTAAAAATACATAAGAATATTTTTTTTTTTTGACTGATAAATCATAACAAAGCGCAGTTTGAAACTAAACTAGATCAATGGAACTAAACGATTTAAATATTTTGTGAATTGGCAACTAAGTGGCAAAATATTATTACAAATTCTATAATATATGTATGTATGTAGTATGTATGAATAGAATTTAAAAGAAAATAACTACAGCAGAAAACGAACAAAACAGAAATATTTATATTGTAACATGTAATAACTATGTGTTTTTTTTTTTTTTTTTTTTGTAAGAAAATTGATTTTGGGTTACATACAAAAGTTATTAAAAAGTTGGCCATACGAGTACCAAACATTTCAATAGAAATGTTCTTTTCCAAACTGAATTCTGTAAAAAGTGAATTGTGTACTTAAAAATAAAGATACAAGTAGTAGTAGTAGTAGTAGTTTTCTTTCATAAAATATTTATAAATAAATTGTTAAGTAGAAGAAATAATAAAGAAAATAAATAAAACATAAAAATGTAAGTCGTGTTATATTTTAAAGAAATCAATAACTACAGCAATAAAATAGTAGAATTTAAAAGAAAAATATGAAAATGTTTAAATATCTAAAATGACATGAAAGTGGTTTATGGATTTCACTTACTGTTTGTGTCTGGCTGGGTAATTGCAATGCCTCAAACCCCAACTAAACTCCTTACTTTTACTGTTAGTTCTATTGATTTTCTACAAATTGCATTGTCGTTATTGTTGTTGGTGTCTTGATAGTTTTCTTTTCATTATTGTCTTTCAATTATTGTTATTTAGTTTGTAATGAATACATATATTTATATCGATTTATAAATTAAGCGGCCTTATAACTAGATTTAGAGGTCTGTTGGGATTCATCAAAATTACTATGGCACAGTAGTTCATACGCCCTTATTATCTGTCTTGCTTCATATGTTAAAATTAAAATATTATATCTAAATAATTCACATAATATTTCAAGGTGACTAGGTAGTGAGTGCGTTAACTATTTTCATTTTCAAAACTGCATGTATTATAAATTCCTAATGGCTATGATTGTATAATTTTTATTAATCCCACTAAATAAAACAAATAATAAAAAGTAGTTTAAGGTGAGTTTTGCACTTGAAATATTTTTAAAGCAGTAATTTGTAATCGAGCTAAATACACGTTGAAATTGCAAATGCGCAAACAAGTGATGCGCGTTTATTTAATTGAAATAAATTTTGTATTTTGTTGTAATTGAAAATTCACAACACGTGTTAAAAAACACAAAAATTACAAAATTTTTTTTTCTTGTATATACAAAAGTTAGTCAAATTACGTTGTGAACTATTTTAACTGCATAGAGTTTCAGTTATTATTTTTTTCATGATTAAGATGAACTATGAATAATAAAAGAAACAAAGAAATTTCTACACATATGTATGACTCAAAAAGAAACAAAAAAAGGTTTAAATGGAAATATAGAAATTAAAATAAAGAAAAAAAGTAAGTATTTAACAGAATCTTTTAGTATAAACAAAAGTACAGAAAGAAATTAAAAACAAAATCCAAACTGTAAATGTCTTTTCCTTTAAATAATCTATACATTTCATGAACTTACCTTCTGATGGAGCCATAAGCTTAACAAAATTATCGGGAAACACACCAATTTTTCCTCTCAATTCACCCTTCCACCAACCCTTGTCGGGTAAATCCATACTGTGTATGGTTATAATGTCACCTACTTTCAGCTCAAGTTCATCATCGTTTTGTGGTGCATAGGGAAATTCAACACGACAATAATCTCGTTGAGGTTTCGGTGGCAAACTGGGAGCAGCATCATCGCCTCCAGCACCACCCAGTAATAGTGATGATGATGATGATGAAGTTGTTGCTGCCGCCACTGTTGTGCCGGAATTTAATGATGAAATATTATTGCTGGTAATTGTGGTGGTAGCAGCCAGTAAATCTTCTTTGGAATTATGAAAACTAAGACGATTTATTTTCTTTGTGCCGGCTGCTGTAGCTATTGAAGACGCTGATGATGCACTTAATGTTGACGAAGTGGCAGCTACTGTATTATTAGCACTTTTAGTTATTTGTTTTGATTGTGATGGTGGCCGTTTACTGGCAAATACGGGTGATGATTCGATAAGTTTAACAAAGTTTGAAGGAAAAACACCAATTTTATTTTTTAAACGTCCACGCCACCAGCCTTCTTCGACCTAAATGCATAGAATAATAACAAGAATTTAATAAAATAAACACCAAAGAAATTAGAACATTTTTATCAACACATTGTTATTATAGTTATTATTGTTGTTGTACTATATATGAAAAAAAAAAAAATAACCATGCAATCTCTAGGATTAGAGGGTTGTATGCTTTATATGAATATTTTGTTGGTACTAACCTCCCCTAGGAATTCAATGACATCACCCACGGCCAGCGATAGTTCGTCATCGTTGACTTGCGTATAACTGTAAATAACTTTACAGCGTCGATTACTCGTCGTCGTTTTGTCTCTGTAATAATATAAAAAAAAGGAAAAGTTCAAATTATCTTTTATAATGGAAATGTTTTTATTAACTTTCACATATTTTCTATAAACAAAAAAGAAAAAAAAAAGATTTTTATTACTTTATAAAACATACAAACAATTATTGCAAGCATATCGTGCATACTGTCATTTAAATGTTAATAGCATTTGCAGAGCCTTTTAAATCAGAGAAACGGAAATAACAAAAAATACCAATTTTGAGATGTTCAAACATGATAAACATAAATATTTGAAATGAAATTTGAAATATTTAAGGATTGTTATCTATGTAGCTTTGAAATTATTATAAAATTCATAGTATTTTAGAAATGGAACGGTATTATATTCCGATCTTGATTAAAATTTAAACAAAACAATAATTACAAACATTCCAGCCAAAATTTTTTCAAATATTTGTTTTAAGTATTTAGGTAATGTAGTTATTTCATACATTACTTGGTAATGAGTTTTTGTTATCAATAGCAATACTTCATTTTCTTGAATAGGAATTGTATCCTATTGTCTAGAGAGCGTTTGTCTAACAATTAGGGTGATCGATTATTCGACATTTTCCAAAAACCGGTTTTCGAATAGTTCGAATAGTTGACATTTAAAAAAAACCGGTGGATATTTTTCAAATTCAGAAAAAACCGGTTAACCGGTTTTTCATTACAATTAAAAAAATATATTTTAATTTGAAAAACTTAATGTTTATGTTTAAATTTGATTAATAAAACATGGCCCGAAATGATTTTTAACAGTTTAAAAGATTATAACTTTAGATCTAGTCGTCTGATTTACATTATTTCTTTAATATAAAAAAATTAGGAAAATTCTGTTAAACATAAGGTACTATGTAATCCTAGCTTATTTTAAAAGCCTTGTTTAGGAAATTTGCATAGGCATTCCAACACTTCCATAAAATTTCAGCCGTAAATTAATTATTGTAATTGGAATATAATCTTAAGATTGCTAAATTTTATCAAACAGTTATCCATTTTACAAATAATTTTTTTAATTAATTAGGAAAATCAAAAAAGTTTAAACAAAAGAGCTGTAGAAAAATATACTCTAGTTCCTCGACTCGAATATTTTTAAAATTTAGACGGGCTGTATTATTATTTACTTAAAAATTTCATTTAAATAATCTTTGAATACAAAGCAAATAAAAGTATTCGAAACCGGGTTTTAAAAAGTGAAAAAACCGGGTTATTCGATATTCGAAAAATCAACATTAAGAAAAAACCGACACTGGTAAAGCAGAAAAAACCGGTTTTAAAACCGGTTGAAAAATCGAGTCGATCACCCTACTAACAATCAAGTAGTTTTTATACCCACCATCAAAAAAGATGGGGGGTATATTGATTTTGTCATTCCGTTTGTAACACATCGAAATATTGGCCATAGACCATATTCTGGGTCCTCATTAAATTCTAAGTCGATCTAGCCATGTCTGTCCGTCAGTCCGTCCGTCTGTCTGTCCGTCCGTCCGTCCGTCTGTCTGTCTGTTGAAAGCACGATAGAGTCCCAATGGAAAGAGCTAGAGGGTTGAAATTTCACATAAATATTTCTTACAGGTAAGGTTTGTTTGGTATTGAAAATGGGCAATATCGGTCCACATTTTCTGATAGCCCCCATACAAGTGGCCCCTCGAAAAGCAGCTTTAACAGCCATAACTTGTTTAAAAATACGAATATAGCGATAAAATTCGACATAAGTAAGTTTCTTATGATCCAAAATCATTATGCAAAATTTTATGAGGATCGGTCCATAATTGACCCTACCCCCCATATAAGGTCCTCTTCAGAAAATGACTTTAACGCTCATTACTGGCTTAAAAATACTAGTATATAGATGAAATTCGACATAAGTAAGTTTCATACGAGTCAAAATCTATCTAAAAAATTTTATGAGGATCGGTCCTTGATTGACCCTACCCCCCATATAAGGTCCCCTTTAGAAAATGACTGCAACGCTCATTAATGGCTTAAAAATACGAGTGTAGCGATGAAATTCGACACAAATAAATTTAATACGAACCAAATTCTGTCTACCAAATTATATTAGGATCGACCCATAATTGACCCTACCCCCTATAAAAGGTCCCCTTCAGAAAATTACTTTAACGCTTATAACTGGCCTAAAAAATACGAGTATATAGATGAAATTCGACATAAGTAAGTTTCATTCTAGTCAAACGAGGTTTGATGGTGGGTATATAAGATTCGGCATAGCCGAATATAACACTCTTACTTGTTGTTAAATATTTTTCACTCACCTTAATACCACTGTATTGTCCTCATTCATATCGACGACACGAACAAAATTATCTGGAAACATCCCCGTTTTACCATTTGTTTGTAATGTACCCTCCCACCAGCCACCTGGCATCTGTTTAATACTGTGTATTATAGCACCTTTGATTAGATCTAGTTCATCTGGTTCCTTGGCTGTGTAATCATACTCCACAATGGCGGTAACTAAAACGAAAGGACAAACAAAAATTATTTAATGATATTTTAAGAAAAATATATAAAACTATATATATAATACAACAAGAAAAATCACATCAATTTACATTTGCTGTTACTACTAAACTAATAACTTTTTTACACAATCACAAGTGTTATCATAAAATGAATATTAAAAACTAAGGTTTAAACTTTTTGTTCATAAACATATTAAAAATTATACAAAAGATGTAATTTACATACAATGTAGTCAAATTATGCACACCCTCTAACCATGTATGGCAAGTGTAAACGCCTCTACAAAATTTTGAAATTTTAACTTTAATCCAAGTGCAACATTATAATGTTTTTTTTAATTGTCATTATTATTTAATAAATTTTTTTATATTAATTGTTGTGTAAAATTAGAATTTAAACTACCGGCGACTGGAGAGACTTTTTTTAAATTTTGTCAAATAATAGTTTAGATACTTATTTTGTTTTCGAAAAAATTTCAGTTTTCGAAGATGAATTATTTTTCGGACAAAATTATGGATGTATTCAATTCTGTTTCTTTAGAAAATGTTTGATAAAGCCTTCTGTAAAGCCTCCAGTAAAAACTTTCATTACCATCTAAGGGGTTAAAATTTACTTACACAATAGCATTTTAAGTCATTATTTTAACACGGTGATGTCATTGGAGGCAAGTACTTAATACAAACGATTACAATTAGAAAAAGTAGTCATTGTGAATCACATTCTATATCTTCACTAGCAAGATGACTTATGAATTAGAAAGTATTTATATAATACATTATTAGTAAGACCTTATTTAACTACTTCTATGTAATCCAGGCGATAAGTAGTAGTCATGAAAGTATGTTGTTAGGTAATTAATTACAAATGAAAGCCATTACCTAGTTTTTGCTGGATAACTATTCGATGTATTATTCAATTCTCGGAGAAGATTCTCAAAACGTCCTATTTTATTTTTATTAAATTCATATGGGAGGTACCCCCGCCTTCTATTGCTTGTTCCAAACATTCACGTTGTTGTTCATGCAAAGTTTGAGGATTTTAGTTCTAATAGTTTCTCAGATATACGATTCATTCATATAAGAGGTTCCAAGACCCGTAATGAATGTCCGTTGCATCGCGTGAATGTTTAATTGCATCGCGTAAAATTTTAAGATTCTAACGCTAATAGTTTCCCAGATATATGAACTTTTATATTTAATGAATGTCCGCGCATTTTCCTCCCAAATGTATGGGATGTGCCACGCCCCTTTTATTACCCAAACGTTCACGTGGATGTTAGAGTTGATCGTGAAAAATTTGAGTATTTCAGCTCTAATAGTTTCTCCATAAACTAAGTTTTGTATTAAATTTACATTGTAGGTTCCAAGCCCCACTAATGAAAATCCTCCCATTTCCCCCCAAAATATTCAACTAGACGTTAAAGTACTTTTTTGCAAAATTTTAAGATTCTACCTCTAATAGTTTCTGAGATAAACGATTTTTTGTATATAATTCATATGGAATGTGTCATGCACCTATTGCAAGTCGGTCCATTTTTTTTTGTCCTAAATATTCATGTTGATACTAATGTAGCATCTGAAAAAAATTAGAGGACTCTAGCTGTTATTTTTTTTTCAGATATATGTATATATGTATATGAGGGAGGTGCCCATATGTATGTCAAAATTGTCCATACAAAATTTTGAGGAGGACTGTAGCTGTTGCAGTTCCAGAGATATGCAACTTTTAATACTTATTTTGTATGTGGCCGTGGCACGTAGTCTACTTCCTATTTCAAAAGAAACACTTAATTCTAAAAGTTGAACAAAGTGAAGAAGATCATATTTAGAATAATATACCTTTTTATCGCTTAACGCCTGACGTTTTGATTATGTTCGCTTCAAAATATGTATAATTTAGCATATTTTTTTTGTTTTAATTCATTCATAATTTAAATGTTTTGTTTCAATTACACAAAAAAAAAATATTAAGCTTTTGTTTAAAAATTGTTTTTGCATTTAAAGGTTTGCGTGCGTTTTTTGTTTTTTTTTATTGCATTATAATTCATTTTCTGTTATAGTTCACGAAACAAAGCAACAAAGGCGAGACATGAGAAGACATAAAGTAAGGCAGACCTACAGAAAGACAGACAGACAGTCAACCAGATAAGACACAAGGTGAAACAAAGTTCAAAAGAAGCTCTTTATATGTTTTTAAAGGTAAACGAATAGCGATACAACCGAAAAAAAAAGTGTTGCCTGTTATTTAAACCAATTATGGGCATATAGTAGATCAAGTTAAAAACACTCATAAAATCCCACACATACGAGAGAAGTGGTTGAAAGTTTTTGAGGTTTGTTTTGAAAAAAAAAGTAATATGTATAAGAAAAACCTGATGTGATCTTCTTCCGCAGCAGGTGATATGTATTGAAAAAAAAAAAAACTACGACTCAAGACCAGTTTAACTTATTAGCAAATATGACGAGTATTTGCTATAAACAATAAATAAAAATATAGAAATTATATTCGTAATTATGTGTGTATTTTAGTATTATTGCATTTATTGTTTTTGTATGTACTTGTATGGAAATACTATTACATATTAGCTCAGTTAGAGATGAGGCCGGGGCTTATGACATACCGCTTTTTTGTTTAATTCAACTTTTTTCAATTTTAATTTATTGTTGTTGTAAATATTTCTTTGTTGTTTCTAAGCACCTATATATAAAATATTTTAAATATTTCTTTGTTTTTTTACCTTTTAAATAAACTCGTGATGATTCTTAATATTTGTTTTTTGCGTTTTAAAATCAATAAACATTGATTATTTAAGATTTATAATTTTGAGTATTTTGTTTACTCCTGATACTTTCTATGTATTTGTAGATATTCAAGGTTAGCAAAGTTACATTAGGTAAGGAAGAGTAATGCACCTTTAGGTGCAACTCCAATCGGCGACCGTTATGGTCCATTGTGAATCCCTTCGATAAGAAGATATAAGAGAAGTAAAAATAAGAAACCAGAAATATGATTGAACAAAGAAAGTAGCGTTTTTGGGCAAAATTGTTGATAAATTCTCATTTAATAGAATATTCTCTATAGAAATTTCTTAAAAAATATATATTTTCTAATTATTTTCGAAAGAATAGAAGAAAAACCCAGCAAAAACTGTAATGACTTGTAATTGTAACCCCCTAGATATTAACATACTTTTCAATGACTACTGCTTATTGTTCTGATTACATAGAAGTACTTTATAGGTGATCTTTTTAGCAAATTTTAAGACGAATTCTGTTTTCGAGAAAATGTTCAATAAAAAATTTTGATAACTTTAGTTTTCGGATAAATATCCACCTTTTGAGAGAAAACTTCATAATTTTTGATGAATTTTGTTTGAGTAAAAACTTGGTAATGACTTGTACTTACTTAACAACTTACTTTTCAATGCCTACTACATACCGCCCGCATTACTTAGAAAAAGTCTAGTTATGACTTACAAATAATATAATATGTAAGTATGTACTTACTTTTTTTACACATATGAAAACTTAAATTAGACGCCATTTTTTCTTCTCAAAAACTAAACTACATACTTAACACCTTATTTGTAGGTGATTATAGTAAGTACTTACTTAACTCCCTATTGGTAAGCGAGCGTGGTAAGTAGTTGTCCGTAAAGTAAATTTTAGCATTTAAACCCCATTATTAATAAGACATTATTAAACTACTTCTATGTACGTAATCAGGAAGTTATGAATTAGTTATTGAAAAGTATATTAATATGAAACGGTTACAGTTGAAAGTCATAACCAAATTTTTGCTGGGATATTAAATATACAATTTTAAAGGTATTTTTTTCTTAGTTTTTGAATATTTTCTGTTAAATTTTATTTAATAATATTTTAAAGGACATGCATTCATATACAAAAATGTCACTTCTTTCAATTTGTGTTAATTTTTCTTCTCTAGTTTAAATAAATTTTATTAAACATTATTATTTAAACATATTTCTACATATTTAGTACTTTTTTTCTCTTATTCATAAAAAAGAAGTCAGAAATAACATAAAGAACTATAAAAGGCAGAGCTAAAAACTTGTTTAAGCCTGAACAATAAAAAAGGTTCAATTGTTTTTAAGCCAATACTAGTTATTATTTACATACATACACAGTAACACATTATAATTCGTACAGTTTGTTGTAAGTTTTTAGATTTTTCAAAATATCATATTTAGATGATGAAAAATGATAAAATTCTTTGTCATACTGTAAAAAACTATGAACCAAAGATTTGACTTTTGTTTATTGCATGCGTTTTTTCTCTCTCTTTTTAGTTTGGTTCATAACTAACGGGTTGACGCCATTTGTCGGTTTTGCCTGCTGCCAGTTTATATCTGCATGTAAGTATTTGTCCGTCCATCCGTCCAATTGACAATGCTGTTTTTAGTGTATTTTTCTTGTGGCTTTTTGTAATATCATTCTGTGTTTTTCTTCTTTTTGGTCGTAGCTGTTGATTTTTTTTTTTTCAATTTTTTATTTATGTTGAGCTTGTACGAACGAGTAAAGTTGAGGTTAAACTGAAATTTAGTCTTAGTGACCCAGTTTTTAACATTTAATACCAAACAAATGACTTTCAATGGTTTGTTTTGTGTTTTATGATTGCAAAAGCAAAAAATAAAAAGAAAATACATGTAGAATTATGGTTTTGATGGGGTATATTTCTGCTAATGTTATATGTATGTGGTAAACATTAACACTTAAAAAAAGTTTTAATAAATTCTAAGAATACAAATCCTCTTCTACAAGGAATGTTATTTTGTAGTATAAAGGAAAATATTTTTAAATTTTAGATTATTGAAATTCCAGTTTAATTTTAGATTTTAATAAATTTCCATAAATTTCATAGACAATTTTCAAATAATTATCATTTGATAATTTTTTTCAATCTTTTAAATACTGTGTTCTTATTAGATACTAAATAAAATTCTCAAAGTTATATCAAATCCACAAAAA